CTGCAAGCTTTAACTTAAAAAATATAGTGGGCACTGGAATACACAGGTTTCCTATGATTCACATTTTCTTTAACTTCCTATTTTATTAATTAATTTGTTTATTTTGTAAACAGGTTGCTGTGTATTGCAGACTTCTACCCAACGGGGTTTACCTGATTAAATAAAGAAAATAAAAAAATAAATATAGAAAAATAAAAATATAACTGGACAAACTGGGCTTCAATCAAGAATGACTGTAGTATGAGCTGTACTCTAGACCAGTGTTTCCCATTCTTGGTCCTCAAGGCACAACAACCTACATGTTTTAGATGTTACCCTGCTTCAACACACCCATTCAGATGATTGCAATTCAGTAAAAGGCCAGTCTTTGGAATAATCTTCATAATTTTGGTCTGACTCAACATGATAAACAAGCAAGATACAATCAAGGACACACACTGGACCTGATTATCAGTAAGGGTATGAATATTTCCAATGTCTCTGTAACTGATGTTCCTTTGTCTGATCGTTTTGCTGTTATCTTTGAAAACACAATCACCATTGAGCCTCTCAGCAAAACAACTACTGTCACAAAACGTTCTTTCACAGACAGCATAGCAGAAACTTTTAATCTATTACACACTTCCACCTTGCCTTTATGCTGTAACCATGTAGATGGGCTGGTAGATAACTTTCATTCTAAAATTTCAGGTATCCTTGATTCCATTGCTGCCATTAAAATTAAGGTCGTGTTTGAAAGGAACAAGTTTCCATAGAGATACGCGCAGTTAGATCTGCTAGTCAACGTTTCTGTAGGGCTGAACGTAAATGGCAAAAAACTCAACTTAATGTTTATTATGAGATCTATAAAGACTGCATAGCTACCACTCCACACTAAAACATGCAAGGGAAACATTCTTTGCTGAAATCATAAACAAAGGCCTTAACAATGCTCGTCCTATATTTGCCACAGTTGACAGATTCACAAACCTGCCTGTGACTGAACCATCTGAACTCCACTCTAACAGCCTGCAACAAATTTGCCAAGTTCTTTGCAGTGAAAATTGAAATGGTTAGAGGATTAATCTGCACATCCACATTACACTCAGTATCAATGACTTGCCCACACATTACAAATACAGAAAAAAATGACGCAATTTCAACTACTTATCCATGAAAGCTTAGAAGACATCAAATATAAATTAAGCTCTTCCTCCTGCTGACTAAATATCATCACCACTTTCCTTAAGAAAGTCTTTCCTGTCATTGCGTGTGATCAGCAAAATGATTGAAAAAGCTGTTTCAACAGTTGAATAGTTTCCTATTGATAACAAACCGCTTTGATGTCCTTCAGTCAGGTTTCCATGGTCCATATGGTCAATCCATAGTCAACTCACAGCTTCAGTTATTACAACTAAAAACTAGCGATCAGGCCTGAAATCTGGGTGCAGTGATGAACTCTGACTTGAACCTCCAGAGCCACATAAAGACAGTGACAAAATGGACCATCTATCTCCTGAAGAAAATATCAAGGATTAGAGGACTAATCTCTAAACTCATTCATGCTTTTATCTTTAGTCGCATTGATTACTGCAACAGTGTCTTCACAAATCAATCCTCCAGCTACAGCTGATCCAGAACGCTGCTACTGGCGTTCTCACTAAAACTAGGAAGGTGGAGCACGTCACCCCAGTTCTAAAGTCCTTCCACCGCCTCCCTGTAGCTCAGAGAATAGACTTTAAAATACTGTTAGTTTATAAATCACTGAACAGCTTAGCACCATAGTACATTAAAGATCTGCTGCTGTTGTATCAACCTTCCAGACCTCTCAGGTCTTCTGATTCTGATCTGCTCTGCATCCCCAGAAACAGAACCAAACACAGAGAAGCAGCATTCAGCTTCTATGCACCACAAATCTGGAACAAACTTCCTGAAAACTGCAAAACAGCTGAAACATGGAGTTCCATTTAATCCAGACTTAAAACGCACCTGTTTAGAGTTGCTTTTGGAACATAAAACATTGATAAACATTCTGATGTATAATGCCACCAGACAAAATGTTATGTTTCAATTACTGACCGTCTTCTTTGACTGTATTTTTGTGTTGTTTACAGTTTGAACTGCCCTGTTGCTGAAATGTGCCATACAAATAAACCTGACTGATTTTGTTATTCAACTATCAATTGAAATCATGTGTGCTGAAGCAGGGAAATGCCAAAAACATGCAGGGCAGTGTGCGTTGCGTACCAGGGCTGGGAAGCACTGCTCTAGATAAAGGCTTGTAAGGTCAGCAAGGCATTGACTGTAAACCAGTTGTCTCTTCTTAAAGCTGTACTTTTTGTTTGCCTGTAGTCATGAGTTGGATGTGGAGGAGTGTCCACAGCTTACACTGAAGGAGGTTTGGTCCAAACTAGGACTCAAGCACAAACTCCAGCCCCAGTAAGTCTTTTTCCTTCTTTTTGAGTATTTTTCTATTCTAATTCTGCTTGCTTTTGTTTAAACAACTACAAGAAAGTTAGCTATATGATCCAATATAAACTAGTCACTAGTCAAAATATTAACCAGTAATACCAGTTGGTTTGTCTTATGATTCTTATAATAATTCAACAATGCATTTTCTATTGTTCTGAATTCAAATTTGCAAATTACACCTCCCTGAGAAGATCATAGAACATGATACCAAAAAACATTTCTGGTATGAACCAAAAATGATGATATTAGCAGTATATTGATCAAAGTTAGTATGATAGTTCTATTTAGAGTTGTGAAAAAGACATTCAATCAGTCCAGCTTAGTTTTGTTGTAAGGTGGTCTAGAGACATTTTAAGTTGGATCAATTCATATAAAATGTCTTTGAATATTAACCTTCAGCTACATCCTTAACAATGGCAAACATTGTCATCTAACCATGACAATGTTTTCCAAACAATCCAAAAACTTGATTCCTACGAGTCTTTGTACATATTTCAGCAAGTATTATTATTGTTATAATTACAAATAAATGCAACATCTTTAGTGAAGTAGGCACTGTACCGGTCTGTTGTGGTGAAGAGAGAGTTGAGTCAAAGAGCAAAGGATTCAATTTACAAGTTCATACTTTCATCTATGATCATGACCATTCACTGGATTATGACCAAAAGAATGAGATCAAAGATACAAGTTGGGGCTGAAACGATTCCTTGAATGATTCAAGTATCTCAATTAGTAAAATTCCTCGAGGAAAATTTACCTGTCTCAAAGCTTCGTTAATTTATGTTTTATTATTTACCACACCATGTTCCGGCTGGGACATTATTTGTGTTATGCGTAGCTCTGACTTCCGCCTCTGAGTTGTTGACAAATCTTAAGTGTAAGCGGCATAATGTCCAATTTTCAAGTTGGACATTATGCCATAGGGATTTTATTAATTGATGATAATGCCATAGGAATTTTATTACTTGATCTGTTTCTAACTTGTGAGTAAGAAACAGATCAGCTGTCTTTGGAAAGTTTCTTTGCAAAGGGGTAAAGGCCCAGAGAAGAGACAGGAGAATGGATTTATCCCGGACCAGTAGGTGAGTCCCACATTACAAGCCGCTCTGCGTACCATGCAGCAACCGGCTCGCTAATGAGGCAATGAAGCTTCAAACTGCTTCGCCAAGAAGAGACCAAGCAGGCTGTACATATAAGCAACACTTCAGCTGTCATTGTCTCTCATCACTCCCAGATGGGAGTGATTGAGTTTAAGCCATTAAGGAGGCTTAAAGACTCTCAGCTGCAGACGCCCTGGCAACGAGCTGCTTCTCCGCCATTTGCATTCACATGACCCCACCAATCCGGTTTTAACAAAGGGGTGGCGGAGTGCACCGTTCTGGTATTGCTGGTATATGTATTCATGTGTGACATGGGCGCCAAAGATACCATCACTCACATGGACACAAAATCTATAAATGGCTGTGCAAAGTGAAGATTCAACTATTAAACTGACTGAAGATGAATACGGAAACTAAAGGCTGGAGTATACTTCTTAAATAACTTCAAAAAAACACTTATGTATATAATATAGCGTGCCTATTAATTTGATCCCAGCATTCTGTTTTGATGCTGAAGTAAAAAGTAGTCAATAGCATATGAAGTATTACTATGTTGAGTAATATGGACTAATGCCATTCGGGATGCAAACATTAGTGTATAAGCTAAAATTAGCCAAAGCTTAAATGATGTCAGTAACATGTGGGGGCTGGGGCACTGCCATGAATCTTGGGCCCCATGACAAAAAATTTAATTGCCCTTCTCCCCCATTTCACAGCTGCTGTTACAGTTTCTGAAGTCTATCTTACCCATCAAAAGCGCCACAATTTGAAAGGCTTGCAACTGCCTTGCTTTCTTTGGTTCAATTCTGATACTAGCACAGTATTCAGTGCTAGTGAATTTTACATGAAACAGTCTTGGCGCTGTCAATCAACCTCATTCACTTACTTCTAGAAGGGCTTATGGAAGATTTTATAAAGATTGTTTGACTTTCTGAGTAATGAATACATAGTTTTTGTTGTGTAATTATAAAGAGATTGGAGAACAGGAAAATTCCCTGGAATGATGCTAACTAGATTGTCACTGAACACAGTTTTGCTCATCTTTCACTGGGACAGGGGGGAGGGATTATGCTGGTAACAGGGTTAGAGCTGCTGCTGACTGACTCGTCTGTTAAGTGTGGTAAGAGGTACAGGGACATGTTCAATATATAAATATGATGTTAAATTCTTTCCTTCATTCATTAAATGCTAGTGAAATGCAGGCAAACGGTAGTCTGTAGCTAAGCTAAATATGTAAATGATTGATAATCTCAGTCTACTCACCTCTCTTGTAGAAAAACTGGGTTATAAATTGACACTCTTATCTTTTTTTCGTCTCTCTCTCTCTCTTTGAAAACCTGATTTTATTATTTTTCTAGGCAGCACAGTAACTGCCACAGTCGCTCTTGTCTTCAACCGACTGCTGCTGAACACCGTCAAGTGTGCTAAGCAGGAACAAACCATTTCAAGCAGATAGAGGGGTTTAGTGAAAATATAGATGTGTGATTTTTGGTCTGGGAGGGGGTAACATTTAATTTTTACTGATAAAACAATTTTAGAAACACTATATGATTAATTTTGTAATTGACAGGGCCCCGAATTTTTTTCTATTTCTATAAGAAAAATAAAACTATTTTTTGTGGGAGGGCCCCCTGTTGGTTAAGGGCCCTTGGAATTGTCCTAATTTTGGCGCCCTTGTGTGGGGGTGATTCATGTGCACACCAACCAACCAACCATACATATACATATATATATATGTATATGTATGGTTGGTTGGTTGGTGTGCATTCAGCAGTTCGAGCCTCACAAATGTGGTTTTTGGGCGACGTTTTTTGCGTAGCACGTGGCCATCGTAGGTTGAAACTGCAACAGAAGTAATACTGTAGTTCCCTTCTGTATGTAGGTTGGGGATGCGCACCTGAGTGAAGTTGGCCCCCCCACCTTCTTCAAATCAGACAAAATTGGTGTCAAACATTTGTGCTACGTTTGTGCTGGTTTGTGCAGCAAAATTTTTTGTTTGTGCCGCTATCATTTTAAAGATATAAAGAAATGTTTCCAGAGGTCATCCAAGGTCAACCAGCCCTCCACCTTCTTCAAATCAGACAAAATGGGTGTCAATCAACTCGGCTACGTTTGTGTTGATTTATGCAGCAAAAATTTTTGTTTGTGCTGCTTTTGCTTTGAAGATATTAATGAAAGTGTAAAGGTCAAAAGGTCAACCAGCCCCCCAACTTTTATGAAATCCAACTTTCTTTATATCTTTAAAATGATAGCAGCACAAACGAAAATTTTTGCAGCACAAACCAGCACAAACATAGCACTAATGTTTGACACCGATTTTGTTTGATTTCATAAAAGTGGGGGGGGGCTGGTTGACCTTTTGACCTTTACACTTTCATTAATATCTTCAAAGCCAAAGCAGCACAAACGAAAATTTTTGCTGCAGAAACAAGTACAAACGTAGCCGAGTTGATTGACACCCATTTTGTCTGATTTGAAGAAGGTTGGTTGACCTTGGATGACCTCTGGAAACATTTCTTTATATCTTTAAAATGATAGCGGCACAAACAAAAATTTTTGCTGCACAAATGTAGCACAAATGTTTGACACCAATTTTGTTTGATTTGAAGAAGGTGGGGGGGCCAACTTCACTCAGGTGGGATGCGCACAGCGATTCAGGCCACATGAACAGTTGACGGAACAAACATTAATAAATAGATGCCTTATTGGGTGTAGAACAATAATTGCCTGCCATGTACTGAAGTTAATATTCAGGATTTAACAATAAAAATCCGCTGTCAATTTGTGTGATATTACTTACCTTAAGGAAGTAAAAAAACACAATGTTTTTATATGAAAAAAATATCTTTCAAGATATTTCTTTCAAATTTCAGCATATGGGCCAAATGGTCTGTTGTCTTTTTTGAAAGTATAAAAGTAACAATGTCTTTTGCTTATTATTTCCTCAGGTTGGGAATTGTCATAAACTATAAACATTTCAATGGTCCAAGGCCTAAAAAGACTAATGAGGTAGTTGGAAACATCAACAAACACACCAGATTCTCTGAGATGGATGGAGATGACTCGAATCAAATTAACCCTGCCCTCTACAAGGTAATCTGTTTAAACTGTTTTGACATTTTTTATTCAGCTTGTCTGTGTCTTAGTTGACAGTGGGAAAGCTTAACCAGGACTACACATAATGTGGCTTGCTTTTTTGAAGTCATACTGCAATCAGATTGACAGACTTCCAAACTTCTTTTTGAACTCCTCACACTCTGATTTAGTTTTAGATAACTTGGGGTGTGTGTGTGTGCATGCGTGCTTGCTTGCTTGTTGTAGTCAAGACCACCTAACCTGAGACCAAGTCAAGACCAGAGTGTATTGAGACCGAGACAGGGCCAAGACTTTCATTATCAAGTCAAAGTCTAGTGGAAGGTCAAAATGTGACAGGAGAAGATGCACCAGCAAAAGAAGTGACTGTGAGCGTCAACGGATTATCAAACTGAGAAGATTCAAGAATCTGGCAGAGATCCAGAAAGATTGGAATGAGGAGGAAATCAGAGCTTGAAAAAACACCACATTCAGCAACTGACAGCATGGGTTAAAACTGTCAGGTTCCTTGGGTCAACCCACTTCTGAACCTGAGCTAATGTAGGAAGCATCACAGCTGGGCCAAGAAGAAGAAAGGCTGGACCATTGGCCAGTGGTCCAAGGTACTGTTTTCCAATGAAAGTAAAGTGTCCTTTTCACTTGGTAATCAAGGTCCAAGGTTTTGGAGGACAAGTGAGGAACAAAACCCAAACTGCTTGAGGTCCAGTGTGAAATACCCACAGTCATGATTTGGGGCGAAATTTCTGCTCCAGGTGTTGGTAAACTCTGCTTTCTTAAATCCAAAGTCAACAGTCTACCAGAATGTTTTAGAGGATTTTGATTCCTCTGCTGAGGATCTGTATGGAGATGCAGATTTTATCTTCCAGCAGGACCTGGCCCCTTGCCCACCAGAAGCACCAAAGCCACAGGGCTTGATTGGCCAGTCAGCTCGCTGGACTTAAACCACCCAAAAGCAAAGAAGAACTAACAGCAAGCACCAAGGAAATCTGGGCTTCCGTAGCTCCCAGGCAATGCCACCAGATGAACGCCTCAATGCCATGTTGCATCAAGGCAGCGATTAAGGCAAAGTATTGAAGATTGACATATAATTTTTAAAGTACCATATTTTTTATTTTTATTTCTTTTTTTTCTACAAATACTAAGAAGTAGTTTGGGCTGATTTCTTCACAGTATTCTGATGTTTTGTATATTCATGTTTTCGTGGGTTTCATGAGCTAGAAGCCCAATTATGTAAGAAGGAACCCAGGGCCAACTGCACAAGGTCTTCAATGGGTCTGAGGACCTCATCCCACTACCTTATGGCAGTCATGGCACCTGTGGCTAACACATGGAGGACTGTTTGGCCATCCACAAACCGTTGCATACTGAGTGTGAATCTGCTTTCATCTGTGAAGGTCAGAAGGTGCTAATGATGAATCTCCCAATTTTAGTGTTCCCTAGCACACGCCCATCATCCTGCCAGGTGTTGGGCTGTAAGCACAGGCCCTATATGTGGATGCAAGGCCCCCATGGAGTCTGTTTCTGACAGTCTGAGTAGACGCATCCATATTAGTGGCCTGCTGGCAGTCATTTTGTAGGTCCCTGGCAGTGGACCTCCTGTTTCTCCTTGCAATAAGGACAAGGTAGTGGTCCTGCTGCTGGGTACTAGCCCAGCAGCAGGACCCTTCTGTGTCTCCTGGTGTACTGACCTGTCTCCTGGTACCTAATCCATTCTCTGGACACTACTGAGAGACGCAGCAAATCTCCTTTGATGGATTGGCTACACTACTTGAGCAACTTCAGTGAGCTTTAAAAAACACCTCGTGATGTGTGAGAGCACTGACAAAATGAAAAAGTGACTGAAAGTTTAACCAGAAAGTAGGAGAACAGAGGAATTATCTGTGATCACCACCTGCAGAAGCACTCTTTTACAGTGGTTGTCTTGCTAACTGCCTCTCTTTTCCACCTACTGTGTTTGTACAGCATCAGGTGAAATTGATTCACAATAATTGTTACTTTCAAACTGACTACATTGACTCCACAAAAGTGTAACCGATTGGGAGTTGCATTGTTTTATATAGGTGTTCCCTTTATTTAGTTTTTTTAGCAGTGTATGAATTCGTATATGCATGTCTATGTACATACAGATTGAGCATTCTCTCTGAATTCAAGTTGTGTTAATCTACATATTATAATCTATATAGAGAAGTATGTGTCTTGAGGAAGGAAATAAAGTGTAGATGTTCATTAAACTGTGACCAGCACATCACACTGCACACACTGCTCCACCCTATTGCTCTCCAATCAATCATCCCTGGTGACAAAAGCTAAAAACTGGAGAAGTCCAATGGTAGTCTATAAATGAAAGCAGTAAAAGCTTAATTAAAATGTCGAGTTTTTGTCCCCTCCTCTTGAAATTGTACGCAGAGCATGCTGTTTGCTTACCTTGAAATATCTCCAAGGCAAGGGTGGCATTAACTTAATATTTTCCACCATTGTTGTGTTTTTTTTTTTCTTTTTTAATTAAGTTAAGTTTGTACAAGCACAATGCTAATAGGCGTTGATGGCGGAGGGTGACACTGCAGTTAGCATGTTGGATACACTGTTAGTACGTTCTCGTCCTTCTGTTATTCAGATGACTTGCTTTAGAAGGTTAATGGAAAGATACGAGAGAGGCATAATTTGGGAGAAAATTCTAGCATACCTTTAAGTCGTAGAAAATAAAAATGAGCAGAGTTATTTGTAGTCTTGTTACTTGGAACTCTAAATACATGGATACTGTTTTGTAGGTTCAAAATTTTCTTCAAAACTTGCCAAGGGAAGCTCAGATGACGGATGTAAAAGAGGAAAAGAGAAATAAGGGAATTAAGAAGAAAAATGATGAGCCTGTAGAAGAAGAAAGATGCAATTGTGAATCCACTTCAGAAACAAAAATGATGGAGGACAATGAATGTTCCTCTTACTCCAACTTCACTGAAAGATCTGTGGAAGAGCCAAGGGATGTGGAGAATCCTGGGAGATCACTAACATTTCAAGAGAAGCTGGACCTTGTTCCATCACACACACTTGAAGGTATCAATTTTCTTTCATTTATTGAATATGTTTGGGTTTCTATTCTCAATGTACTGTAACACACTGTTCACAATTACTAGACAAGTAAGCATTTGGGTATGTGTGAATAGTGAGTGAAGGTGTGACTTAATGAGATCAGAGTGTACATTATTACTAGGTTTTAAGAAAAAAACACAAATGAACTGCCTAAGATTTTAAAAATAACCAATCTGATAACTGCTAGTGAAATTTAAGGTCAAGGTAAGCAAGCCCGACACATGCCCAACTGTGAATAAGAAATAATTGAAACATCAAGACTTGGGCAGGCAGTATCTGTAAACAGATTTTTTTTATTTTATTTTTTTTTTATTTTCATTGTCAAATTCAGTTAATATAATATGACAACCTTGCTTCTGTCATACTGCACCGGGAAATCTGTGACTATAATATACAGTGAGCAAAAAAGTAGTCAGCCTCTGTTGGTGCAAGATGAAAGAGATCAGTAATTTTCATCATAGATGCACTTACGCTATGACAGCAAATTTAGAAAAAGAAATAATCCAGGAAATCACTTTGCAGAATTTTTTTAAAGAATTTATTTGTAAATTATGGTAAGTGGTCAATAACAAAAGGTCAACTCAATACTTTTTAACATGATTTTTGTTACCTCATGTCATTGAGGTAATGACATGACCTGTCATTGCAAACAATAACGGAGTCTTTACCCAGTTCACAATGGGCCAAAATAGCTGGCATTTTGGCCCATACCTCCATCTAGGTCTCCTCTAGAACAGTGTTGTTTTGGGGCTGTTGCTAGATAACACAGACTTTTGACCTCCTCCACAAATTTTCTATGGGCTTGAGCTCTTGAGACTGACTAGGCCAATCCAGGACCTTGAAATGCTTTTTATGGCGCCACTCCTTTGTTGTCAGAGTGGTGTGTTTGGGATCACTCCACTCAGGCTGCGTTTTCTGTGGCTGCTGGAAAACACAGTCACGACCCATCTTTATTGCTCTCACTGATGGAAGGAGGTTCTGGCTTAAGCTCTCGCAATACATGGCCTGGTTTCTTCTTCCCAGAACATATATGTTATCCTGTCCCCTTTGCAAAAAAAAAAAAAAAACAGCCCCAAAGCATGATGTTTCCACCCCATGCTTCACAGTGGGTTTGGTGTTCTTGGGAAGTGACTGAGCATTTTTCTTCCTCCAAACACAACAAGTTAAGTTTTTACCAAAAAGGTAAAGATGTTGCATGGGGTCCCAGATCAAGGGAGATTATCAATGGTCTTTTATGTCTTCCATTTTCTTACAATTGCTCCCGCAGCTGATTTATTCACACCAACCTGCATGCCTATAGTAGATTCATTTTTCCCGACCTGATGCAGGTCTGCAATTTTCTTCCTGGTGTCTTTTGACTGCTCTTTGATCTTGGCCATGGTTGAGTTTAGAGTCTGACTGCTTGAGGCTGTGGACAGGTGTCTTTTATACAGATTGAGAACAGGAGAGCTTCATAAAGAAGCTACAGGTCTGTGAGAGCCAGAAATCTTGCTTGTTTGTGGGTTGCTTAATTCTTATTTTCCACCATAATTTACAAATAAATTTTTCAAAAATCCTGCAATATGATTTCCTGGATTTTTTTTCATCTTCCTGTCATAGTGTAAGTGTACCTATGCTGAAAATTACAGACCTTTCTCCTCTTCCTAAGCAGGAAAATTTGCATAATCAGTGGCTAACTAAATATGTTTTTGACGCACTCTAGCTCATCACCTTCATATGAATGTGTGCATGAATGACTGAATGTAATGTGAAGTGCTTTGGAGACCTGGATTTTATAATACAGATAATTTACCATTAATTTACAAACATCTGGCATGATTGTTGTCAAGTTGGGTGTGTCTCCATTGCAGTCTGTTTCTCACCAATGTGGGTGTGAAATAATACCAGTCACATTAAGAAGTTTAATTTGTATCACCAAGCTGTAAATGGTAACTGCATTTAACCATATTTTCAAATTCATTGATATTTATTGCAACTTTCATTACACAAACTGTGGAGAAAATAACAATCCTGACAATATATACAGTTTCTGGAGTTTTTAGGCATTAATTGGAATTTATCGCCACAATAATTAATTAATTAAAATTTTATAACAAATTTATCACACTAAATTCTAAACATTATGTAGCAGGGTTTCCCCCAGAAAACTTGCTAAGCCCGGTGGTCAGGGTGTCGACGTGGCCCAGCGGTGGTCAACCGTGTTTTTGTATTAAAAGATGTTAAGTTGACAGGAAATGTAAAAGTATTACTGTTTAATTATATGTTACGGGAAAAGATCTCCAGTGAAATGCTATTTAAACCCACAACTAGTCTAAAAACAACAAATTTGCACTTCTGTTTAATCCAAATTAAGTCAGCGGCTCCATCAGGCCCCCAAGGGCTTCAGGGGCCCCATAAATGCTAATATATTAAAACAGACCACAGATACATAAATGTAACATTTGTTTGAGATTATCAATGCTGTTAAATTTTATTCAATTGTTTAGGCATACATAAATTAAAGGATTTTAAATTGTTTAATATTTAAATACAAGATTTTAAGGAGCTGGCAAGTTTACTTTGTAAAACTTCAAAGAACAATATTCATAGTTAGATTGTTTTGTTACCACAGCAACACTCTGATGCTGTGAGTTTAATCTTTGAATTTACAAATCCAATTTAGTAAACTGCAATGATAACTTATTGCTTTTTAAGATCGCACGCGCGATCCCGCTGAGGTAAAGCAGCGGCAGCGCGCGAGGCAAAGCGCAGAGGCGCCAGCTGTGTGATTGGTCTCTTTCTGCTGACTTCCACATTGGTGACCCTGAACATGTTTTTGAGGGAGAACTCACCAGATGCTGCCGCCGCTTCTCTGCCAGCCATGGTTTTGTTCCAGTGGTGGAACAAGTCGGCACTGGGCCGGGGGACGGGGCTAATGACCGGGCCCTTTATACTCAAAATAACAAAGCTCATGAAAACATAATTTTATAAAGTACTAATAAATGCCACTCATATTTGTTGTAAAAATACTCCAATCTAACCAAGTTTACAATCCATTCCTAAGTATCTGACTGATGATGACGTGGATGGTTGGTGATGTGTTTTACCCAGAATACGCTTGGAAAAAATATCGACGATCAACTTACACATTTGTATGCCATAAAGTTAAATGTAAGAATGAAAATAAAGCCAGTCATGTAGCACAACATTTTATTCAATATTTTACACCCACTATGCCACTAAAATTCAGTCGGTCTTGTAAAAAATTTTTAACCATGAGTCAACAATGACTGGGGCAGCCTACTATATAATCTACTGGGGGACCAGTAAGCTACATTTATTATACACCATATTCAACAGGAGAGGGCTCACCTTCTCCAGCTCTCATCAGACTGATACAGACTTGAATCTCTGAAGTCATATTCTGCCTCCCATCCTATGGCTCCGCCCCTGGGCCCAGTTTTTTTGCCAGGCAGCTATTATTCCATCCACCATGGTCTGCATTATAAAGCTTCTATATTTTTGGCACTGCAATCCGGAACCGTAGTTCCAGCATGTGGAGGCCCGGATCCATCTCCATGGGATAGCTATAGACAAGACCAAGTAGTTCCATATTTTTGCTGTGTTGGATTCTGTTTCCACGTGCAATCTCATGGGTCTGTTGCATAGCGCATCAAGAATTGACACATTTTGTGCGTTCAATATTTGTCAGCCACTCTGCGGCTTTACCAACTGTCGAACACATAGCAGGCCAATCGTTTGTTGTCCCTAAACGGCTTGGGGGATCGCAAACCCTCTGAGCTAATGGAGAACAGGCTGGCATTACTTGACTCAAGGGATGGTTTCCTTCCTTTTTTATGTACCTGTTTCTGCGCCAACTTCCTCCACCCATTCGCACCACACTGGCCATCTCCCTGCTGATCCGGACCAAGGATTATTGTTCCCTTGCTGAAGAAGCAGACCGGCTTTTGTTGGTTTGTTGGACTCGAGTGTCTGAAGCTGTTGATGCCGTGGCTGTGATGACAGGGCGGAAGGACGAAATTCTTTGCTTCTACCATTAACGGTTCTTAGTAAAGGCGTGTTTGTTCCTGTGTCAGGGAAACGAGAGCTGGAGCTTGCTAGCATTGGTGTGCTAGCAGCTCAGATAACCTGCTTTTCATCATGGATGAGGTTTCTGGACGGTGTTTCCTGGTGGACCCAGGTTCACAGCAGAGAATTATGCCACTTTTTGGCAGCAGGCATCTTGTGTGAAAGTAAGAAATCCTCGCTGGACGCAGCCAATGGCATCTCCATTTGCACTTTTGGATCGAGATTGCTGACTTTGAGTTTCAACGGACATCACTTTCAGTGGGACTTTGTGATAGCTTCTGTGTCTTTACCTATTTTGGGTGCAGATTTTTTGTGTGCTTTCAAGTTATTAGTGCATGTTACTATTAGCTGATTAAATGAGACTGTATCTTTTGCTACCTGCCCCTATAAACATCAACCTCTTGCCAATATGCTTGCTAATGAATGTCAGTGATTGTTAGCAGAGTTTCCTTCTTTAATTGTTCCCACCGCAGCTAAGCTTGGCGTGGAGCATTGCATCACTAGTTGGCAAACATGGAGCATCTTGGCATTCGACGATGTTCCAAAAGTCCATGGACATCCTTGCACATGTTTCCCAAGGCCAAAGGTGTTGGCAGAAACAGGGGTACCAAGGTCTCTAGAGATGGCCTTCCACCCCTTGGAAGTCTTATAAATAATAATAGCATTTCTGGCGTCCTCAGACAGCTCATTTGTCTTTACCATTGTCACACATGAAGAAGGAATAACGGGTGACTTTTTAAAACATCAACATGATCATTCCTTGGATAATTCATGTCACATACCCATGTGAAGAAGCAGTTCATCACAGGTGAGCCTGTTGCAAATCCTTATTTGTGATTTGCAATAGGTGAGCCGAATTGGGTTTCCATGCCAATTTGCAGCGCAAAGGGTGCCAATACTTTTGACATGGGAAACAGTACATTTTTCCACGTTTTCCTCATAATGTTTATCTTTTTAAATGTTCTTTATC